CACTAGTGTCATTAGACTACATTTTTTAGGTGAATTCTTACTTGGTGATCAAAACTCTCTGTGAATGCACATGGGCGCAGTGAATTCCCCCAGCACCATCTCCAAGAATGAGGAAATCCCCTTGAGGTATCCAGAGAATGAGGTCAATTGGTGCCTCAAGAGATAACTGCATCAAAAGGGAGGAACATCCCTCACCGAACACAAATAGTACAGAGTCGAGGGCAACAGCCACGCGGCCGTAGGCAGCACTGGCATGTAGCCTTGGCAATCCAACAAGCTGTAAGGAAAGAAATTCTTTTATTTGAAGGGCTTTTCTTATTTTTCTTCAAGCTACATCTGTACAAAATGGTTCAGAGAACATATTACTATTATGTGAAATGGAGGCAAGAGAGTGTTGGGAACACAGGCATAAGTACAAGAGACAATGAAAGAATATAAAAGAGATACCGAGGGAAAGGAACATGGAGCAGAGGAGAAGGAAAGAATAGGAGGAAGTAGGGGGAGGGAGGTGGGAGGAGGTAGTGGGTAGTGGAGGACTTTAGGTAAAAGAAAAACTGGAGATAAAGGAGGAGGAAGAGGTTAAGGTAGGGAAAAGGAGAAGGAAGGGGGGAATAGAAAGGGATTGATTAAATGAAGAAAAGATGGAGAAGTAATTAAAGAGGAAGAAGGGAGGACAGAGGGAGAAGTGCAGAAAGTGGAAGGACAAAAGAGAAGAAAGGATGGGAAGAAGGGAAGTAAGAAAAAGGAGAAGGGAGAAGGAAGGAGGAAGAAAGAAGAGAGAAAGGTAGGAGGAGGGATGGGATTGAAGAGAAAAGTAGAAGGGAGGAAATTGGGAGGAGATTAAGAGGAGAAGGAAGAAGAGGAAGGGAGGCAAATGGAGAGGAAATAAATCAGCAAAAAAGGAGGAAAATAGAAGGATGTGAGAGGAGAAAGGGAAAGGGGAGTAGAGTGGAAAGAAAAAAAGGAGAGAGGCTGAAGGGATTAAAGTAAGAGGAAGACAGGAGAGTGGAAGGGAGAGAGAGGGAGAAGGAGGGAAAGTGGAAGGAGAAGAGAGAAGAAAAAGAGAAGACAGGAAAGTAAGAGAATAGAGGAATCTGGGAAGGAAGAAGGGAGAAAAGGAAAGTAGAGGAAAAGAGGAGAGGGAGAGAAGTGGTAGGAGAAAAGAGAAGAGAGTTAGGAGGTAGGAGAAAGTGAGGAAAGGTGATGAAGGGACAAGGTAGAAGAGAGGAAGAACAGAGGAGCAAGGGACAAAGAGTGAAATTGGGAAGAGAGAAGAGAAAGGGGACAAGGTAGAAGAGAGGAAGAACAGAGGAGCAAGGGACAAAGAGTGAAATTGGGAAGAGAGAAGAGAAAGGGGACAGGGATAAGAGAGGAGAAAGGGTGACGGCAAAAGAGAAGAGAGTTAGGAGGTAGGAGAAAGTGAGGAAAGGTGATGAAGGGACAAGGTAGAAGAGAGGAAGAACAGAGGAGCAAGGGACAAAGAGTGAAATTGGGAAGAGAGAAGAGAAAGGGGACAGGGATAAGAGAGGAGAAAGGGTGACGGCAAAAGAGAAGAGAGTTAGGAGGTAGGAGAAAGTGAGGAAAGGTGATGAAGGGACAAGGTAGAAGAGAGGAAGAACAGAGGAGAAAGGGACAAAGAGTGAAATTGGGAAGAGAGAAGAGAAAGGGGACAGGGATAAGAGAGGAGAAAGGGTGACGGCAAAAGAGAAGAGAGTTAGGAGGTAGGAGAAAGTGAGGAAAGGTGATGAAGGGACAAGGTAGAAGAGAGGAAGAACAGAGGATGAAAGGTGATGAAGGGACAAGGTAGAAGAGAGGAAGAACAGAGGAGAAAGGGACAAAGAGTGAAATTGGGAAGAGAGAAGAGAAAGGGGACAGGGATAAGAGAGGAGAAAGGGTGACGGCAAAAGAGAAGAGAGGGGGAGGAGAAATAGAGAAGGGAGGAGAGACAGAGAAGTGGGTAGAGAACAAAAGAAAGCAAAATGGAATATTTACATGAAAGGGGGAAGGTAGGAGTGAGGGAGGAGAGATAAGAAAGGGAGAAGGAGAAAAAGAGAAGGTATGAAAGAAGAGAAAAGGAGAATAGAGAATAGAAGGGAAATGTGAGGAGAATGAAAAAAGGTAAGAGAAAAGATAGGAAAGAATGAAGTAGAGAAGTAAAAGGAAGAAGGTAGGAAAGGAAATAAGAAAGGAGAACCTAGAAATGGAGAGGGGAACAAGAGAAAACTGAGAAATGAAAGATAAAGGGAGAATAGAGTATATATGGAAGAGGGTAATGAAAGAGAATAAATGGAATAGGACAGAAGATATAATCAAAGAATCAAAGGCAATGAAGTATGAGAAAAAAAATGGGAGAGTAAATGGAAAGAGAGAATGGTTGGAAATAAGGACATGAGAATCAGAAGAAAAGGGAGGATAAAGAGTGAAAAGTGAGAAGGGAAGAAAGACAATCCAAATATTTGATGACTACCTTATCATCTGGCTGCAAATATGCTAATTTAACAACTTCATAGAGAGATGTTAATGAGCCTAAATCTCCCGCCTGGCGAGTTTCCTCATCACAATCGGCGTCAAGCACCTCCCAGCACACCATCTGGAAATAATAACTCTTTTTAGCATTATGTTTGGGGCAGACTTGTCAACCAGTACACACTAGAATAATATTCAACTTATATATGACATTTCTATCAACATATTCAATATGACTATTAGTAATACCATAAAAGTATTGTTAAACTGAATAAATAAACTCTAAATATCTAGATGACACTGACTGCAAGGACCTCTGCACCTGTCACCACCCAGGCAACAACAAATAATCATTCACAGTATATATTCCAAAACTTGTAGCCTTTACTGGTCATTCATCATCAAATATGAAACCGCTTCACACTATTATTTTCCCAGAATTTATATAATGAAGTTTTTAAGTCTTTGCCAAATTGCACAGTAAAGAGACCACGCCAATCAGATGACACTATGTCCCTACTGATCATAGGCCTATAATCAGGGATCATAGCCAATAAAGTTAGGCCTACAAGAAAACTCCCATTTGAAAAGTCATTGCAGGTGTACTTAAGAGTTACAAATAAGCTTACACTGTGTCTAAAGAGAACGAAGGTAATATATAATGCATAATAATGATATACTAAACTTGCAATTATGAAAAATACTTGGAATTAATATTTCGTCAGTTAAGATAATTAGTTATTCCGGCTCGTAAAAAAATAAATCATTCAGACCATATTTTGTACCCTTATTGTAATATATTCTTAAGATACTTGAAATATCGCACTAAAGTGTCAAAACCTTAATAATTTTTTCTTCATTTTTCGAAAACCTTTTTATAAGAACCAGTAAAAACAACTTGACATTTTTCTTTTTACATCATTAAATGAACACCAATTCTCCTAAATAAAAAAAACACATAAAATACTTAAACCAAATATCGTTACCTTGAATCTCGTGTCTTAAATAACACAGCAAAACATATTACACGAGAAAATCCCGTTTTTAAAATAGGCTTCTTCCTCGGAGTGTCCGGTTCGCCTTCACGTCAAAGTCTTCTTCTTCTTCTTTCTTCTTTTATAGGGATTTAGACTATTGTGTAGTCTATATCCCCTGGATCTATTGGCTTTCTTCTTTCTTTTCTTTATATTATTTCTATTAGTTTCGTTTTCTTTAGGAATATTTTTGTGTGTCTTAAAGTGTAGGACTTCCCGCCAAAGTCAAAACGAGAAGTGGACGTTTGCGAAACTTTTTTTTATTTGGTATCTTTTTACGGGGTCACTATTCTGTTATTTTATTTACTGTTTATAAATTTTGTTATTTTATTTACTGTTTGTGTATTCTGTTATCTTATTTACTGTTTATTTATTTTGTTATTTTATTTATTGTTTATTTATTCTGTTATTTCATTTACTGTTTATTTTCTATAATCTATTTATTCTGTTATTTTATTTACTGTTTATTCATTTTGTTATTTTATTTACTGGTTATTTATTCTGTTATTTTATTTACCGATTATTTTCTGTTATTTATTTATTCTGTTATTTTATTTGTTATTCTATTTTATTTATTTACTATTCTATTATTTTACGGGGTTACTATTCTGTCCCGCATTGGTTTTCTTTTGGTATTTCTCTATGATTAGTATTTATTAGTTATTGTTGTTTTTTCAAATTATTTCCTAGTTCATACTTAGATTTTTTTATAATGTGTCTGTGTGAGTTTATTCTGATGGAAACGTTTTTATTATACTTGAATTAGTCCATTAGCTTCTTATCTGGAATATCTTTAACGGGCTTATTATACTGTCATTGGATGAGTCTTATTTAAATGGATTTACCTAATTTCGTGATTTATTCCTCAATAACGACAGCATAAGATATATATATAGTATTTTATATATAGTATTTTTATTCAATTTATGTATTTAATCAGCGTGAACAGGAGCCGGATGCGACTAATTGATGCCTTGAATAATAGCTCTCTATATTTATTTTCTTCCCCTTGCCAGTAGAACTCTAAAAAGATCTATTTTTTTTACTGAGGGTATATATTTATGGTTGGCCTTCATGTGTGTGGTGAAGAAATCAAAGCAAAAAGAGAATATAAAAAAAAGAGCCAAAAAATACAACATTGAAACTCGATGGGATCAGACAACAATGAGGGATTAGATTATGGAGGGATTACATGATGATATTTGCAAAAAAATCCTCAAATCTATTCTAAACCTAATTAAAATATAAAGAGCTCAATTATATTATATTGAGAAATAATAACAACAACTAATCCTATCTAAAGAAACAGAAATAAATGTTGTAGACAAAATATGCAATCTTTCTAACACATACACAGCAGTTTTCCCTTAACTTAGCGAAAATCCATATATAGATAATTGACACTGCACAACGAAAGAAGCAATTACACGAATTAAACATTATATAAAAGCAAAGGATATACACAAATATAGGTCTCCTTTCCTCCACATTCAAAGCCTACTTGATTGCGTGTGTGCGCAGTGCGGGTCGCGTGTAAGATCAGCTGATCCACCTATGAGAGCCGCTTTCGAGGTGATTTTTGCCCTTTTTTGGCCTTTCTCTTAACACTTTTGACCTCTCTTGTTCATTTCTTGATGTGAGTGAAACGTGTGAATAGTTTACGTGTTGATTTTCAGTTTTTCTGGACGTATTTCCAACCGGTCTGAGGCGTGACCTTAAGAGAAGCCGCTATGTCTTTTATTTTATTTATCTTTTTTCTGATTAAACTTAATTTCAAAACAGATTTACTTCATTTTTTTGTGATTAGGGTTAGATGTTAATCAGATGTGGTGTGGTTTGTGCTTCTCTCGGGACGACTACGTGGCTTTACGTTATTGTGGCGTTATTGACGTTATTGAACACAATATTGATGATTTTTTTCCATGTTAATATTTAGTTATTTTACGTAGTTAGTTTTAACAAGTAGATTAGACACAAGACGTACAAAATGGAATAACTTTCCTTTTCCTCCATTTCCAGTGTATATATAGCATTTAAAGTCCTATATTAGGCCTTTAGAAATAGAGTGCTGGGGCTACATCTAATTATAGGCCTATGATCCCATCTTGCAGGTCTTGTCATACTAGTGAATCAGTGGTACAGTGCTTTGGTTATATGCTTGCTAGTCCCTAAGCTGAAGGAAGGAAAAGCTATTTAAAGTAGTTTTCATTGTAAATTAACTAGGGGCTGTGTATTTTTTTTTTTTTTTTTGTAGAATCGTGTAAGAGTACAAAGTCAGAGTTGTAAGTAAAAAAATAATTTTTGTGGATATTTATCTTCAATATTATCAGTGGTAAATGTCATTCTAAGATTTAAATGCAACTTAGGTCCTCGTGTCTAAAGTCCTGTGTTTGCTGTAGCCTCCATGCCAGACTGTACCATGTACATTCCGGCAAGATAAAGCATAGACTGGCTGTGTATCTGATGAAAATTCCTTTTGAGGTCTACTGGCTTTCATAACCCCAGGCTACAAGCAGTGGAGATTTGTTGGCATTTGCAAGAGTGCTTGCTGTTGCATAAGCCATTCTCATTGATATGTGGCCATTGTTGATGTGCAGGAGACTTCTAAATATTTACTAAAAGCAATAAGTTAGAAAGAAAAAAGAATTAATATCCGGAAACTAATCATTATATATTTTTAGTAATAAAACCATATATGATTTTATGTTAAAGATACAATTACATTCATCCTGTTGGCAGTGAAATGCACATAGCGTATCAGGGATGTTAAAGATTATCTATTTTAAATGTATTGATGAAATATCATAATATCCTGTAAAACAATATGTAAATACCTGTAAATACCTCCAAAACAGTTTACTATTGAATCAATGAATTCTCCTAGAGTAGTAATATTTATTATTTGACCATTGTAAATGACGCACTGTGCTTATTGTGCGAGCTTAAATTAATAATTTACATTGATAGGCATTCAGGGATGGGAGAAATGGTGGGGCAAAAGTCACAGATGATCTGGAGATTTTAACACATTAGGTATGCTTAGTGAAGGAAACTTGCGATTAACAGTTGTTCAAAGTTGTAACTTTGTGGCAAATCTTCCATCAGATTCTTTGTTGTTATTCTGTACACATTTTCTGCATTTGTATATTTCATGAACTGTTAATTCATAAATATGTGTATTAATGTATACAACCTGCATGAGGCAGAGTATATATGATACATAATGCATGATATATTACATTCATTTAGATTTGCATTGCAACTCTTTTTGTTGCTTATTAGTAATATGCATACTCCTAGTAATAGTGAGTTTAGAACACTGATTGTATTAACAGTAGTCTATATCTATTAACTTATACTAGGCCACAAGTAGAAATATAGACCTGGAACTTCCATAACCAATCACAATCCATTGACTAAAACATTTTATTAAACACTTTTATATGAAGCTTTTGATCATTGAGCAATGCCAGTGGAAGAATGCAGTGTCGACTAATTTGTCTTTGATTTCTTTGAAAGTCCCAGAGCTCTATCCCAGCTTGGTCTTGCAGTGCAGGTTGCCCCGCTTGTGTGTAGAGCTCAGCAGAGTATTTGTGTACCAACAGGTTCTCTCATAACTTTGCAAGCTTCTGGGTTATCAAAAGGAGTGGCATATGCTTAGAGAACAATTGGTGTTTTTTTTTCCCTAAAAAGAATCTGCTGGATAAATTGCAGAATCAGATTTTGGTTTTATATATTTATATCTATTCATGTGTTCTGGGGGTAAAACATAATAGTAAGCTCAGAATATAACTTAGTTTGTGAATGTCACCTTTACCAGATATAGTCATTATATAGATAAAGTAATCCCTAAGAGAAAATACTTTTTTTTTTTCTTTATCACTTCAGAAATTAGTTGATGGGTAATCCACATAGTAACCATGTCACATGAACCCTTAAGGTACATTTTCACATATAATAGGAAAATGTATTGAGTTTGCAGGTTATTGAGCCTTATGTA